TTTTCCAGGGCTATGGCCTTGGCCATAATTATGGTATCTTTTCTGATCCGTTAAACAAGTTTTCAACACAACTTACAGGGTCGAGCGTCTCCGTATTTTAAAAAATTATGTTGCTTTTTGTAGGATCAGTTAAAGGATTTGGGGGGGGGGGGGATGCAGATGTCTCAGATGGTTGTCTGAACTTTCAAAAAGGTCGTGAAGCAAACACAGAAATCTTCCGTGTCCGACTCTTACCGTGTACCCACCAAATAAGGTCATCACTCATTTTTTCATAATCAGAAATAATGCTATTTGAAATCGGAATTACAATAGATGGAATTATATTTTTATTTACTATAATGATTAAAGTAAATTATTGATACTATAAATGAGAAATAATAACATCCCGACTGATAGAGCTGCAGTTGGCCTAAAATAGAAAACCGCTTGTCCCCTCGACGCTTAACAGAGGATGAAAAGTTCCGAGAAAAAGTATGTACATGTAGATTCTAGATACTGTAATATGTCAAAAATACAATTTACACAATATTTTTTAGTAATTCTTGTAAATAATAAGAAAAAAAATGACATGTCCACTTTTGTGAAAATCAATTTTCATGCCCATAAATGGTTTGAGTGTGGCATCGACAATATATATATTTATCTCAGTTGATAAGTTGGTAAATACTTCTCTCTGGCACCAGAGGCAAGTACGTTTTGTTCTTGACATTCACGATTTATTTATCTCTCTACAGGTTCTATCCTATTGCTTGACAAGTTATTTATGGGTACCCCCCCCCCCGGGGAACAGCTAATGACACCCACGTTGGTTCCCTTTGAGTTGTTGTTTAATGTCTTTCTGATTTCGTTCGCCGTTGTTCTTTAAGAGTTCCGGCTTTCCTACATTATTGCGGCATCATAAATTTGGGTATATTTTTAGCTCTGGGCTTTTTTTTGGGGGGGGGGTTGGGGGTTGCTGTTTGTTTTGGGGGGGGGGTATTTTTTAACTATTACGTTATTATGAAAACACAGTAGTTCAATTTTAGAAAAGAAATAAAATCGTTACAAAACCCTCTCAGAGACTGATCAAGCATCGGTGGAAATGTGGGTGTCGTGCCTTATTACAGTTTTGTTCCGGCATAGTACTCGCAAAGGTAGGCGGAAAGAAAGGGGTTTCTTTGAAACAAAATGTTTACATAAGGTGGAGAAAGTGCGGTATCAAAGTGATGTTATGCCAAATCAAATCACGCCCAAACTATACATGCAGGGGCGAAGCGTCTATATAATCAAATAATCACTGCTTCCCTTCCTAATTTTGAAACATTGTCGCTGTCATTTTCATCCATAAACGTAAACCCCTTGAATGAAATGTCAAAAGACGTTCGTAATCAACAATGAACAGTATGCCTAACATTCAAAACGGTTTCACGGCCCCAGAAATAGCCTCCTCACCCCTCTCGGGCCACTCCATAAGCAGTCGCAAGCTTTGATTAAGTAAGCTTAAAGTGAGGCTGGAAGAGTCAACCAATTCAGTTGAAGGAAAAATGTGCATAGCAGTCTAAGCTGTTTCATTGCCACATATACTCTGTTCACCCCTTTGGGGTCACAGTTATAATCAATCCCAAGCCTTGATTATATAAGCTAACTAACACTGGTCGAGTCTACCTCACAAATGTGAGGGGAACTAACTCCTAACAATCTCTTCACTGTTGCAAGTGCTTGCTTTTTTTCCTCGACTTTTTACCGTCCTATAATCAGATCGTGACCTCGATTATGACACCAGCTCCTGGCCGCGAAAGGCTAACAAAAACAGCCAAATGTGAAATTTAAAAAATGATAATTGTCATGTTCTACCAAAGAGTTAGACTCACTGGTAGATCTATAACATATAGATCTAGTACTGACATCGCTGCTTCTTTGCTTTGTGTTTATGTATTCACATCTAAAGTTGAATTTAATTTTAGTTGGAACTGATATTTAATAAGATACTTTCCCGATTATTTTGGCGGTTGAACATACAATATGAATTCCGGATTTGTTTTCATTCACAACGCAGAGTCGCCGCCTCGAGTAAGATTCTTGTGTCATATCTACAGGCCATATCTGATCCCGTTTCACTTTGATTACCCTGTCAAACAAGTCAGCCTTCGCCCCTGTATACATGTCACGGCCTCATTCGGTACTTCTGATAAAACAAGAGAACCACGACCTTTGTCATTTTTTTGTCTTGGTTTACATCAATGCTTATCAACCGTATAATAGCCAGCGCCCATTATTGCCAATTTTAAGAGGTTAGAATTTGCCAACCGCTCACCTACGTGTATGTTTAAGAGGGCCATGAAACAATGCCCGTCATTATTCGGGTGATCCCAACCACATTCCAACATTACAAAATTACACTAGTGGGCGAAACTGTCCAGGTTGGCAAGCAATGGTTGATGCCGTGATAAAGCACAGCATCTGTCTAATGCTTCTTCCCCAAAGAGTTAATAAATTGTCATGTAACTAGAATATAAGAAGGCCGACCGGATCCGTTAACTCCAAAGCATGTATGATGATCATCATCATCACATACCAAATAATTTTCTTTTTTTCTTCTTGTTTTGTTTTTCTTGAAGCATAGTATATTATGCTACTGTCATGTTGAAGCATTTTTTACGTTACTACAAATATCGCCACCAAATCAGGACACAGAGCAAAAAACAAACAACCCTAAAGTAAGCAACCCATTTTCCGACATTCTGACTTTCGGAAGGGAAATGTGCTGTTGTATAAGAGTCAAAAACGTCGCACAAGAGTCATCGACGCAATAAATCTTAAGTAGATGATCGTAAATCTGAGATCACCCACGCTCAGCCTATATCTTGCCGTTTAGGGAGGCATGGAGTACAATCTGATTATACGTCGATGGTGGCTGTTATTATTTTAAGTCACCAAAAGAGGTTTTATTTTTCAGTCTGCCATCTCATATTTGAATAATAGATAGCACCATGAAACGTACCATACTACGCCATGCCACATCACACTACATCTTGACCCTAGGCACCACAACACACCACACCACACCAATCATAAAACACCACACCAATCATAAAACACCACACCAATCATAAAACACCACAAAACACAACACTACACCACACCTCCCCACAACAACTACACCACACCACACCATACCACACCTCCCCACAACAACTACTCCACACCACACCATACCACACCATTCCATACAATACCATACATATACCATACCATACCATACCATACAATACCCTTCTGTGGCAGACTATACCACGCGATATACATGTGTGTGTGTGTGTGTGTGTGTGTGTGTGTGTGTGTGTGT